CCGTACGAGGTCGTGGGGGCCGCGAGATCGCCGCGGCCAACGACCGCCGGGGCCTCGTCTGTAGGCGGAAGATGCGAGGATGGAAGAAATCGGTAATTAAGTTGGGAAAGAAACGGATCATTGAGTACTTTGATATATCTATATTTCTGATTAAGTTCCATCCAATCTTATGAGCATCTGGTACACCCAAGAATTATATAAACCTCGCGGAGGTTGACATCAATATATCTATGAGCATTTTACTTAAAATGCCGAAGGATTCACTACGGCATCCCGGGCGCACACCCGCAGGAGGAGGCGGATACACTACCTGAAGGGAATGCCGTCACGAGGAAGCCCCAGGAGGCCGGAGTGAGGCCAAGCATGGACGCATTGATGTCGGAGCGGAACTCGAGGAGGAGGTCGGTGCCGGAGGAGCGGAGGCGAGGCAGCTGGGAGTGGCGGCGAGGCGAGGGCGCAGACAGCGAGGGATCGGCGTCGGAAGGGAGGCGGGCCAGCAGGGGAGCCACGGCGTCGTCGCCGTCGCGAAGCTTGAGCCACTGCGCCCCGGGCTTGAGGGTCGCCCACACCACCTCGGCTGTCACGTGCTCGCCCTCAGGAGCCTGGAAAGGACACGCTGTCAGTCGCCAGAGAAAGGGGAGACAACCACTTCACGAGAGAAAGAGAGAGAGAGAGAATAACAGTATTTTGTATCATATGATTTTCATTATAATTTATATCATCCTGTAATTGAGAAAAACAATGTAGTGACCGAATAAGTATACATTAAGCTTTCTTTTCGTTCAGTAATAGGCCGGTTAACAAGATATTCTCTGCTCTTTCGATTAATGCTGAAATACATTTGGTATTTCCAGACAGAAGTAACTGAGAATCATCTGCATACTGCACTACAAAACAATCTGGCAAACTCAGATAAATCATTCGCATAAATTAAGAACAGGAACGGGCCTCGCGGGATCCCTGGGGAACACTTCTTTGCGAGGACACAACGCTCTTGGGCCTTACTGCCTGTGATCTGTTTGCAAGGTAATCCCGGAACCGAATGGGTTCTATGTCTAGTTTTATGCATTTCATTATAAAGATGTGGTTTACACTGCCAAAAGCTTTAGAAAAGTCTAGAAATAAAAGAATGATATTTTCTTACTGTCAATATTACTATATAATATATCTGTTACTTACAGAAGAGCAGTTTCTGTAAAAAGCCTTTGTCGAAATCCATGCTGACTATGAGACAGAAGTCTGTATGATATTAGCTAAATGATAGCAATATTTTGGAAAATATTGACAGCAATGCGATTGGACGATAGTTATTTACATCCTGGATGTCAGCAGCTTTGTGTTGGGGAATGGCGTGAGGGATCATATTATAAAGTAAAATAACTGCCAATGAATCTCTTATGAATCGAAATTGAATCCCATCAGAACCACAGGAATTAGAATTTGCTACATCTTTTACTGTTAAATTGTGTCCACAGGATCGTCTAAAGCTGTTGTTTGGACTTTCATTTGAAAGAGAAAGAGAAAGAATGAGAGAGAGAGGGAGGGGGGCGAAGGAGAAGATGGAAGGAGGGAGGGAGAGAGGGAGAAAGAAAGAAGAGAGGGGGAAGGAGGGAGGGAGGAGGGAGGGAGGGAGGGAGGGAGGGAGGGAGGGAGGGAGGAGGGAGGGAGGGGAGAGAGAGAGAAAGGGGGGGGGGTCGCTTACCTGCAGGAGCCAGACGGCCGTGCCCATGCAGTCTGCCGCAGAGGCGGTGATGGACGTGGCCTGCCCCGGCGGGAGGGCCAGGGTGCAGCCGCAGCCGCCACCTTGGTGGAGGCGTGAGGCGGCGGCCCTCTCCCGCCGCCTTCGAGCCTCTCGCCCTGGGGGGAGAAAAGGGAGGAAATCTAGTCTGAGGCAACTCGACTCTGGTGCCAAGCAATGAATATGTTGAAAACAAAGAAAAAAAGCTTATTCACGCTATAAAAAGCAGTTCAACGACCTACATGGCAATAGTCGCCGCCGTTCCTGCTGGGGGGGCTGTCGCAGAAGCGGTGGCGGAGGCGCGTCCCGCGGCCGCAGGTCGAGGTGCAGCTGGTCCAGGCGTTCCAGTGCCCCCACTGGCCGGCCTCGCGAAGCACTGCCGAGGGAGGATGAGTCAGAGCATGGAAGGTGATCGGTTCCACTTCGAAAGTCTCTAAACACGTGACGTCAATCACGACAACAGGATCGTCAATCGCATACATTCCCATGCCTGGGTTCACTGAGGCGAATTCAAGAAAATATATAAACGCGAATGGATAACCTTAAAAGACGTTTTGATAAAATCATCGGAAGTACATAACTAAACCTTCGTCTGTATTACATGAATATTTAACTGAATGTAGAATAAAAATCATGTGTAGTCCCTTCTACTGTCAAAAATAAATTTCTCTCTCAGTAAAACCATCTATTATTTTACAAACGTGACAGTCGCAGCAAAGCATCAGAGCAGAAGCAAAAGCCTCCCCTTCCGCCAAACCCATA